CAGCTCACCCACGGCATTGAAATCTCCCCAGACGGCAAGACCCTCTACGCTTCGTCGGCTTCCTCCGTCTTCAGCTGGACCTACGACGCCGCCGCCGGTACCCTGACCGACCAGCGCACCCTCATCGTCAACATGAACAACTTTGACCACGTCACGCGCACCCTCCTCCTCTCGCGCAAGGAGCCCGAGATGCTCCTCATCTCGCGCGGCAGCGGCGAAAACCTCGACCGGCGAGCGGCCGACGAGACCTCGGGCATCTCGCAGCTGCGCGCCTTCAACCTGTCCGAGATCACCGGCAGTCCCGTCAACTTCAACACCGCCGGTCGCCTCGTCGGCTGGGGCCTGCGCAACTCCGTCGGCGTCGCCGAGCACCCGGTGACGGGCGCAATCTACACGGTCGAGAACAGCGCCGACAACATCCAGCGGCTCGGCGAAGACATCCGTACGTCCCCCTCGCCCCCCCCCCCCCCCCCATCAGGCACTAACACCCCCCACCCACAGACCAAGACAACCCCGCCGAGGAACTCAACGCCCACCCCGCCCTGTCCTCCCCTCCGCCCCCTTCCCCCTTAAACTACGGCTACCCCTCCTGCCTCTCCCTCTGGTCCCCCGTCCCCGCCTCCCCCTCCAACGCCACCCTCCTCCCCCCGAGCACCCCCTTCGCCCTCGACCCCTCCGACGACGCCCTCTGCGCCGCGACCGTCCCGCCGCGCCTCGTCTTCCAGGCGCACACGGCCCCGCTGGACATCAAGTTCGACGCGGCCGGGTCGGCGGCGTACGTGTCGTTCCACGGGTCGTGGAACCGCGACGAGCCGGTGGGCTACGACCTGGGCGTCGTGCGGTTCGACGCGGGGACCGGGGAGCCGGTGGACGGGCCGGAGAGCAGGGAGGCGGTTGTGCAGGTTCTGGGGAACAAGGATGTGAAGGGGTGTCCGGGGAGTTGCTTTAGGCCGGTGGGGGTTGTGGTGGAGGAGGAGGGGGGGCGGGTTTTCATGACGAGTGATTCGACTGGGGAGGTGTATGTCGTTAAGAGGAGGGAGGCTGGGGAGGCGGTGGAGGAGGGGAGCGGGGGGAGCAGTGCGGCTGCTGGGGGGAGGGGGGTTGGTGGGGCGGGTTGGGTCAGGGTTGTGGTGGGGGTTGTTGGGGGGGTGCTTTTGGGGGGGAGGTTATGGTGATGGTTTTAGGATACCCTTGATGTTCTTGTTTTGGATACATGATACCGGGTATACGGCGTTGAGGGGGTGGAGTTTATACGATGGCATGTTCTTACTCACAAATGGAAGCAAGCTCGGAACGTTTGCGGAATAGCTCTGGGAAAACCTGGTGACCATCGGTAGCAGTGCTTCCTTTAGTCCTTCAGTATGCAGGTTGGTATTGGGCTTGGGGTCCATATCGCTTCGTCCATCGCTTGCTGAGCACAGGAAGCTGATACACCACTTTACCCATTGAACCAGTCTCTGCCCACGGTAGTATAAACCTGCAGACGAATAAAACGGAGGCCCCAAATGCAAGCCGTGGTCATTATTCTCTACAACTGCTCTGATCAGAACCCAACCATCAACGCCCGCTCTTCTCAACGCCTACCACTTCCCCCTTCTCATACCAACGCTACTCCTCAATCGTCTTGACGCACTCCCACTCGCCCCGCAGGTTCTCCTTCCACAGTGTGACCTTGTTGTCGGCCGTGCTCGCCGCCAGCACATTGCCGCTCAGCGACCAGCTGACGCGCCACACAGCCGTCTCAAACTGCAGCACCTTGGCCGTCCACTGTGTCGGGTTGGCGGCGTCGCTCGTCCAGATTCGCACCGTGCGGTCCTGCGACGCGCTGGCAATGTAGCTCTTCTGCAGCACCGTCGGGCTCCAGGCCACGTCGCGCACCCAGTCCGAGTGGCCGGCGAGCGGTTCGCGCTCCTGCTTGAAGGCGTTGGTGGCGGGGTCGAAGGCCCAGATCTTGAGCAGATTGTCGGAGCCGCCCGTAACGAAGCGGCGGTTAGCGCCAGTGGCGGCCGCGCCGGGGGTGGCGCCGGGCGCGCTGCTGACGATGCTGCCGGGGGTGGTGGCAGGCGCCCACGACACCGAGTTGACGCCGAGCCCGTGGGCGTGGAAGAGCGAGTCGTCCCAGCCGTTGTCCTTGAACTCAAGCACGCTGACGTTGCCGTCCGACGAGGCGCACGCCAGCAGGCACCCGGCCTCATGCGGCGACCACGACACGACGTTGACCGAGGCCTTGTGGTGCGCAAACTCAAAGATGTTTTGCCACACGCCGCCCTGCTCGCGCCAGATGAGCACCTTGCCGTCGTAACCCGCGCTGGCGAGGATGTTGCCGTATTTGGGATGCGCCCACGACACGCACCAGACGGCGCCCTCGTGCCTGTTTTGGTGGGAGTGTTAGAGGGGCGAAGGGACGCTGGGGAGGAGGGAGGCCTACCCCTTGAGTGTTTCTGTGAGCCGCTGTGTCTCGCCCTCCACCTCAAAGATCTTGATGGTGCGATCCGAGGAGCAGGTTGCTAACCTCCGGCCGTAGTAGTCGAGGACCGCATCGTGCTGGGCTCATGTTAGGATCTCGGTCGCGGGCGGTGTGGTCGGGCTCGGGGGAAGCGTGTCGGAGTCGCGGGTGCTGGAGGGCCAACGTACAATCATGTCATCGTGGCCAGAGTTGGCGATAACTTGGGCGCCGGCGGCCTGCGGAGCTCGAGTTAGCGACATCGTCATGGAACCTGTTGTTTCTGGGGACGAGGTGGGTGGTTAGAGGGGGGGGAGACGTGGGGAAACGCACCATATTTGCTGTATTTTGTAGACTTGCGAAAACAGAGGGGAAGAACAGGGACGGGGTGGTGTAGTTTGGTTTCTGTTATTCGCAAGCAGGCGGGTGCAATGGTGGTGTGCTGAAGGTCTGGCCAGCGTCAACTTGGTTGCCGACACGGCGAAACTGGGGCCAACCCCTGTGGTCAACCTGGCAAGAAAATCAAGGTGAGCCCAGGTGAGCCAAGGTGAGCCCAAGCTTCCCCAATCGCTCACCGTGGTGAAGAACGGGCCGCCCCACTGTGAGGGGAGAGACGAGACCGCCCCACTTTCCCCGTGCGTCACACCCGGTCCCCACTGTACAGGGGTGGCGGACCCCGTCACATGGAAGCTTGACATGGCAACTCGCGACTCCAACTTTGCCATGTCCCATCGCTCAACTGCCGAATCGCCGAATCGCCGACATCACCACCGCCCTCGAGTCGCCAATCGTTATGGCTCAGGCTGGATTCCTAAAACAAAGACCGAAATAGTCGATACCGGGCTATGGCACAGCGATTTCTGTCCCTTGCTCGTTCCTTTTTCTCAACCTCTCCCTCACTCAATATCCGCGATTCTTAACCACGACAACGACCTCGGCTTCTCGATTACGCAACCAGTCTTTGATATATCACTTCAGCGCACTTGATTTGGACCCTTGGATGTCTGATCTACCAGAAAGCTCCCCGAAATACATCAACGACATAATTCCACATCCCAACGGCGCCACGATGGCCGATAGTCTCTGCGGCCCGTCCAACGGGGCGAAGAACCTCCTCAGCCATGCCGACCGCGACCGGTCTCTCCAGCAGGATCGGATGGTCGGCGGCTCCAACGGAGGCCCTGCGGTCAGTAACCTACCCATCCAGCGATGTCATCGGGAGGACTTTGACTGACTCTGGCATGGACAGACCTTCCGATCGCAAATAAACCGCACTGGCGCCGACCAAGCCTTTGCTGGCTTCCAGCAGAATGGACACATGGAACCCGCCCTCAACGGGATTCCCGCCGGTCTCCCGAACCACGCCTTCCATTTCCCCGGCATCGCCGCGCCCAATGCGCCCATCAACCACCCCATGGCACCACAGTTCGCCACCCACCAACCTGTCCCGGCTGCACACGACTGGGTCAACCAATTCGCCGGCATGAATGTTGACAACCAAAGCGCGCCCGCCTCAGCCCTCGGAATGGCTGCCCAGCCGCTCCAAGCGGCGCAAATGCACGGCGGCCAAACCAACATGGGCTACGGTTTCGGTCAGGCCGGGTTCGCCAGCCCCTTTGGTGCGCAACAGTTCGGCATGACGCCGCAGATGCCGATGCACGCGCCAACCACCATGGCCTACGGCGCCCAGAACCAGAGCTTCGCGACGATGCAACATAACGAATCTGCTCTAGATGTGGACGCCTTCAACAAGGCCTTTGGCGACTACGACGACACAGAGTTTGACGCCGAGATTGCCAAGTGGGCTGAGAAGGAGGTCCCCGCCGCCGAACAGGTGACGACTCTTCCGGTCCAGCCGGTCGAGGAGGTAGCGGAGCAACAACAGCAGGAGGAGGTAGCATCAAGGCGTCGGGAGGACGAGGAGCTCGCGCGCGCGGCCATCTCGATTCTTGGGTCGGTGGAGAAGAATAACTCGGAAAAGTTCAAGAACTCGAACTTCTTTGAGCTGATGCGGCGCATCGGGAACAGGGAGGTGGTGGTGGAAGGGCCTAACCTTGTTGATTCGACGACTGGAGAAACAGTCGTAGCAAGATCAGACGACGGCAATGGCGCAGGGGAGCCAGGAGCAAGCACTTTGGGCGCATAAGTACCTGGTGTCTATCGCATTTTGTAAGCATGTAATGAGCAATGAGAGGCCTCGCAGCCGTTTTTAATATCCTGTCGCCGAACCTGATATCTATCGTTCTATTCTCTACCCCAAAACTAATCGGGGAATCCTGAGAGGCACTCTTCTCTCATTCATTTTCACCCTTCTCTCATCCTCCGTCCGTTCCCTGCTGGGAATGCTCATCCATCCATCTGCGATATTCCCCGACAAGGTCCTCTTTGCCCTCAACATCCAGCAAGCCGGGCCGAAATAAGCGACTGCCCACACAAGGCCGCATCAACCCGGAAAAGGGGGACAAAACAAAAGAACCCGCCAGCGCCCTGGCAACCACAGCAACGGACATGTCCCGTCACCCAAAAAGACCAGACCGACCCCAAAAAGTGGAGAATCGGCGGAGTCTGGGGATTGAACCCAGGACCTCTCACAAGGAAAATACCCAAGCGGGTGTACCCAAAGCGAGAATCATACCACTAGACCAACCCCGCACCACATAAGCCCTTGAAAAACACAGGACAGTTGGGTTCGGAGACGGTAAGGCGGTCTAAGGATGTCTCTAGCTGGGAGGACTTTTGTTAGACCACGTTCATCGGATTTCCAGACTGCGCTGTGATGTTTGGGTTGAGAAGTAGGCCAATGTAGGTGCTGATGAGGTTGGTCGTCGGGATAAGGTGTGGGAGAATGTTGGCGGCGCCGCCTGCAGTTTTGTGGCTGTCGCTGCTGAGGGTCTGGCCATTGAGGATTCCCGGCCGGGTGCTGTTTGTTCTTTGGGCAGACACTTGCAGCAGCCTGGCAGATCGGCCCAGTGCTGATGTGTGTCAGCATATCCGAATCTCTGCGGCAGTTTGTTTTCCGGGTCCGGGGAATGCATCTGCCGGATCCCGGTGCCAAGCCCGGGACCTCCGGCGCGATTCTTTGGGTTTGAGTACCTTGTGGCCGGTGATGGACGGCGAGAATTTGAAGCAGTTGTGTAACCTGATGAGCGGACCTTGCGATGGAACAGGTCATGCAGTTCGGATTCCAAAGCATTTCAAAGCAAGAGTACCTATGGCGGGAGGGCCGAAGGAAGGAAGGCGGGGTTGGTGGGAGAAGAGAGCTTAAATGGAACAGGCCCTCTCCATTATTATCGGCATGCCCTTCGGCCCCAGCTCAATCCAATTGACTTGCCCCTGAAAACCATTGACGACATTGGCACCCTTCAAAACATTTGCTTGCGACGGCACTCACCTCAAGAATTCCAAGACATCACAGCACCACCACAATGACGAACCCCCAATACCCCTCCCCGCTGGCGGGGTACGAAGATGCCGCCGCCCAACTCACCTATGACCGCAACCCCGATGGCAAGAGCATACGCAACACGCAAACCGGCGTTCTCAGCACCGCCTACTCGGAATTCCCCTCTCCCCTCGACAACGGCATCCGCTGCGGCTTGTCAGTCCCTCCCCATATACCCCCTCCCTTCCACCAGACTAACACCCCCACCCCAGCGACGTACACGTCTACCACGTCCAAACCGCCCCCGACCAGGTGCAGTACTCCAAGGAACTCTACCAGCGCATCCGCCTCGAGTTCCCCGAGCTGCGCATCTACCGCCACTGGGACCAGCCTGTCGGGCCGCACCCGGTCGCCATGTTCGAGGTCAACCTGGCCACGCCGGCGCAGTTTGGCGCGTTCGTGCCGTGGCTCGTCGTGTGGCGCGGCCCGCTGTCGGCGCTGGTGCACCCGAACACGACCGAGACGGACGTGCCCGAGGGGGAGCGCGAGGAGCGGAATCATGTTCAACGAGCGTTTTGGCTGGGGGAGAGGTGGCCGTTGGTGACTGGGGTTTTCAGGGGGCCTTAGGGGGCGGGGCTCTGATGGTTTTGGGGGGGAGGTGAGGTTGGCTTACCTCTGATGGAGGTTGGTAAGGGGACCATGAGGACGGGTGCTCACTTTTGTGTTTTGGGTGGTTATTTATGGCTACGGGTTCATCCGTTGATTAAATTTCAACACGGCGGTTTGCCTGGATGTGGCGCCCGGCAAGACTTTCCACCAGGGCAGGCCGTATCTCGTCTGCCAGCGTTGTTTGGCAATTTTGAGAATTTCCATCCTCTTGCTCCAGAGAGATAGATAATGGCAATAATTCAGCAGTATCTTGGGTCGGAATTCCAAAGTAAATGGAAACGGCAACACTTCATCCCCGTCTTACTTACACGCAGTGTCTTGGCGGGATTTGAACCGGTTCCTGTGCCTTGCAGGTTCTGTCTCTGCCGCAACCCCACGCCAGCACACGAAATTGTTGATTTCAATGTCTTCTCGGTGCTACCAGACGCCTGTTCTACCTTTTGACAAGACGGTAGAATTGGGCAGTAGAAACACCCGTTTACTGAACATCATGGCATTTCAAATATCATGACCCATGACATCACAAACCAGCCCTCCTAACGGTGAACGCGGGGAACAAAATACCGAAGAAAGCCTCGCAAGGACCATCTCCCTCCGTCGTCGCGTTGCATTCCCATCTCAGCCCTGGCGCCCCCAGCAGCCCGCATGGCCTCTCCCGCCCTCATTGGCTGGACCCTGATTCTGTGACAAACCCCCTGAGCCTCACGGCCTTCAGCTGGAGAGGCCGCCCCTATTTTTCTGCGGCGGCCCTCGGTTGGTTCGCGATCGATACAACGGCGGCCGAGTGAAGGCCTGAGGCTGATGGCCGGTTTGGTGGAAATGGAACATGGCGTTTCTCTCGCGCCGCGGACGGTGTCCCCCCTCGAGTCTTCTCGCGGACCTTTTTTCGTCACTTTGGTGGTTGGCTGCCTGCTTCTGGATACCTTCATCTGGAACCGGTCCCGTCATCGCCGCTGCCAGTCGCTTCCGAGTGCCTCCCTCGGTTCTGCCGTGATCTTCTAAACCGACATTCGTTTGCCGTGTTCACCCGCGCCCAAGATGCGGCGAGAACTTCTCTCACTAGCCCTGGCGGGCGTCGCGACCGCCGCTGAGCTTGTGTATATAACCGACCTAGCGATCTACAGCGAGCTCGCCCCATGCGCCCAGTCGGCCCTCTCGTACAACGTGCAGCGCCTGACCAACAGCATCTGCCCCGAGCCCATCTCGGACCTCCAGGCCTGCGTGTGCACCAAGAACAACAACCTCGCGTCCATCTCCAAGGGCGTTTCGTCGTCCGTCTCGTACTCGTGCGGCGGCGGCGCCGGGGCCGACCAGGCCTCGGCGTCGACGGTGCTGAGCGGGTATTGCAACCAGGACGCGCTCCCAACCTTCCCGCCGCCGGCGTTCCCGGTTAGCTACTACATCACCGAGATCCCCGAGATCGATGCGTTGGCGCCGTGCGCAAAGTCGGCTGTCCGATATGGCTTGCAGTAAGTCTCCTGTCGTTGCGAATATGCGAGACGGAGTTGCTAACCCCGTGCCTAGAACTCTTGTAAGCCGATGACCGAAATCCAACGACCGACGGGGTGAGGACGTCCTGTACTGACTGACCCGAACCAGACATACTCCGGGTGCCCCTCAGAGGCCGCGGCCCTCGCGACCTGCGCATGCCAAAAGAACCAAAACTCGGCCCTCGTCAACAAGGTCATCTCGTCCTCGGCCAAGGCCTCATGCTCGAACCTCGCCCCCGACGTGACGTCGGCCGTCAACTTCTTCGCCGCCTACTGCTCCATGGCCAACGGCACGACGGCCTTCCCCAAGCCGACGAATCCACCGGGCGATATGACGTACTACGTCACCGATCTCCCGGGCTTCGAGAGCCTGGCAAAGTGCGCCGCCTCGGCCTTGTCGCATGCCGTGCAATATGTAAGACCCCAGGCCCTGAGGGGGATGATCTGGATGGGACTGACTGAAGGCCATGGCAGAACACCTATGACCTCTGCCCGCCGGGCCCGCAGGCGCTGGCCTCGTGCGCTTGCATCAAGGAGGGCATGCCCCGGATGATTTCCAACATCATCACGAGCTCAGTAAAGTACAGCTGCTCGTCGACCGCGACCGACGATGTCTCGTCCGCTATGGACGTCTACAACTTTTATTGCAGCGCCGCGCGAGCTGAGGTCACCGCCACCGGCGTCACGGTATCCGTCGAACAGAGCTACCCAGCCGGACTCTCCCCAGCAACGGGCTCCCGCTCGGGAACCGGTGCTTCCCAGGCCACCGGCGCCGGTGCAAAGAGCGGCGGCACCGACGGTGACCCATCTGGCTCGTCCTCCGGACCCAACACAGCCCTCATCGGCGGCGCCGTAGCCGGTGTCGTCGTTGTTCTCGGTATCATCGGCGTCCTCGTCTTCTTCCTGATGAAGAGCATCCGAAAGCGCAAGGAGCTCGAGAAGCAGCAGTCCGACCAAATCCCCATGACCCGCCCGGCCACCACCGGGGGCGACCAAGACGTGCACGAGTACTACGGCAAAACCGAGCTCTCCGGTGACTCCACCGCCGCCGCCGGCGCGCCGCTACCCCCACCGAGCCCCGCCCTTAGCACGATGAAGCCCGGCCAGGTACCCCCGCGCGCCGGCACCGTGTCGCCGGCCTCGGTGCACGCGAGCGCATTTGCGCCGCCGTCGAACCACGCCGAACTCCACGGCGGCCAAGCACCGCCGATACCGCCGATGCCCAACAGCGCTGAGCTCCACGCTCCCCAGGCTCCACCGTATCCGACGGGCGCTGAGCTGCCGGGCCAGAGGCCGGCGTACCCGCCGCCGTCGCCCGACACGGCCGAGCTGTACGGCCAGGGCGGCGGCATGTACCGCCCCGAGCTGCAAGGCCAAGGGGCCATGTATCCCCCGCCTAATACTCAGGAGCTGGCCGGGCAGGGGTCCCCTCAGATGTCGCCGTATCCGGGGCCCGGGAGGCAGGAGCTGGCGGGACAGTATAACTACCCGCCACAACAGCAGCAGCACTCGCCGCCGCCGGGTTATCCGCAGTCGCCGCCTCCGGGGTATCCGCAGCAGCTGTCGCCGCAAGGGTATCAGCAGGGGTATCCGTCACCGCAGCAGCAGGGGTACGCCGCGGGTTGGGGACAGCAGACGCCGGGGCCGGTGTCGCCGACGAGTACGTATGTGGGGCAGATGTCGCCCGGGCAGCAGCAGCAGCAGCAGCAGCAACAGGCGGGGATGGGATGGCAGGCGGGGCCGATAGCGCCGACGGTGCATGAGATGGATGGGGGGGTGTATAGGGGCGGTGCGAATGGAGGAGGGACGGGGCAGGCGAGGTGATGATGTTGTAGATTGTTGCGGGGCTTGGTGATGGCGATATATGTCAGGCGAGTTTAGTGTATATCTGTAAGCATGAGCGTTCTGGAGTTTGAAGCGGAAGGATATCTCGGGACATTTTTGTGGATTGATACTCGTGTGTCTTGATGAAAGGTTGACAATGTCATGTTTCTCGATTCGAAATTTCGATGTGCCTTTCGATGGGGATATTCCGTACACTCGGTGCTGAAATAATCCCTGATGTCAGCGACCGGCTGATACAAAAAGATTGTATGCCAAAATGACAAACA